GGGAGCTAGCTAGCTCTGTAGTTCTCGCTGATCATACGCCTATTAGAGATTGAGTTCCATCGATGACGTTAGGTAATGTTTTCGTAAAAAATGCTAATGCCCCATGTGAATCCACTGAAGTTAAATTATTTGTAATGTTTGAATTTTGTAAATGCTGCCTCAAATATCTGAAGTTTTCCGATTGATGAGCGTTATAACAATCACAGTTATAGCTTCCGAAGTTTATAGCACCTTGACTATAGCAAGCTAATAATAGATACTCTCCCTGGCGCGTTGCGTTGGTTATACTTATAACCGTGGGAATGTTTTCTAAACAATTCAGATTACGTAATAATACAATTTAAGTGTTTACGTACACACATATATTGTTGATTCTTACTGTCGAGAATCTTCTACTACTTTGGAGAATAGGCGAGAGTTTCGCAATACATATTTAACAGTATAAGCCATGTCTGTTTCGAAATATAAATTTAATCTAAACAAACGTTGATATTCATATAAATATATAATAATAAATTTGTTACAGTATTAAAAAACATAAGATAAGACTTATCTAAAATTCTACACGTGATTGTCCCAGTCCTTTGTTCCAACTACTTAACACAGTTGGTCTAAGCTATCACAAACGTTACGTATGGAAACCACATAGGAATATGAGAAATAATAAAGATATCCGCTAAATCGTTTAAGTTCAATTTAAACTTCATTGCTATGCAAAAATCCTTAAAGGGGAGGTGTTCGCAAAGTTTATAGGCTCAAAGTTCCATATTAAGTCAACCTGAGTGAGGACATCAAATTAATCCATAGAAATGTAGCAGCTTAATTACTTTAACTTTATGGAAGCACATAAGTAAAAAGTATACTCGCAATGTTGATGAAGATGTCACACAAACTTTCTTATACACCGAAATAATATTCTGATCAATAAGTTAACACACAGGATCACATACAAAAGTTATAATGGTTTTCAAACGGGACCCAAAACTCGAGCGCTTTCGAATAGTTCACTATTCTTATTCTCGTGAAGAAGAACAACGAACTATTCGAAAACGCTCGAGTTTTGGGATTCGTTTGAAAACCGAAATAATATTGCTGCCCCTCGGGGTCCACCAGTTTGGAAATTCCTAACCTAACTTTGTTGTTATATCAATGAAAATATTTCTTTGTGTAAAATGCCAAATACTAGATATTTTGCAATTTTGATATTTCGAAGCAATTTATTAACAATATGTCTGTAGTAGCTAATATTTAACCATGCTACGAAAGACTACATTTTCATGTAAGGAAGTGCAATCTTTGTTTTATCAACACAATGCTAAAGTCAGAGGCTATAAGCTAGATCAAACGTATACTCGTATGATAATGTGTTAGTAATACCTTACCGTGAATATTTATTTTTCTAGGCTCATCGAACTAATATTTACAGCATTCAAAAAGTGTATTTGATGCTGTAGTTCTCGTTCATCATTGAAATAGAAAAACAACTTGAAGAATTGTAATCTTCGTTTGATAAACACGATATTCCTAGCCACATAAACCTATTGTTTTGAAGGTTTGAAATGGTTTTTCATATTTTAGTTTTGTGGGAAACTATAAAAAAGTGCTTTTTCATATTCCTAACTGGATAAACCTACTGTTTTGAGTGGAAACCACAAGAAACACTTTTTCATAATCCTAGCTGGATAAACTTATTGTTTTAACGGGAAATTATGAAAACGAACCTCTAGGATTTGAAAACTTCTCAGTCTAGAGCTTGATAAATCCACCAATATCACAAAAACGGAAGAATTTTACCGATGTATATTTTATTATTGAAAATGTTTATAATTAAGAGTTTTGAAAACGTATAAAAGTTCCGTGAAAATGGTCATATCATAAAAACATACTGTGTTTTTTCCTCTTCTATTTATTATGGCTGAGTGCAGTAATTTATTTTCCCGTATGCATGAAACGAAGATAAAATCATTATAGGAGGTCCAAATATGATAGTGGATAGGGGACGACAACGATTAAAACCAAAAACAAGGACTCTAAGCATGTTGCTTTAAACCTAAGTTTGGTGACTGTTAAGTTTAATTTAGCACAAAAAAATCCCCCCAGCGGCACAGCGATATGTCTGCGGATACCCGCGGTGGGAAGAGCACAAATAGCCCATTGTGTAGCTTTGTGATTAATTTGAAAGAAAGAAGCAAACAAGCACAAAAAAGCCTAGATGAAGTGTCAAATATTGGTATTTATTGTAATACTAATATAAAAGACCGGGTTTCGATACCTGTGGTGGGCAGAGCACAGATAGCTCACTGTGTAGCTTTGTGCTTAACTACAAATAACCAAAATGTTCAGGCGTAGGCTAAGGCTCAATCTGGATTTAGTCAATAGAAGTTTTTGTATTTCAAATGTAGTAAGTTGTTGGTTTGGGGAATCATTAGTAATTTGACATAACTTATTTGTTTCAAAGGTTTATGATGTAAAAGCTACATAATTTAAACACAATATTCATGTATAAAGGATTTTTAACTGTTAACAGTATAGAGTAATTGAAAGAATTAAATAAATAGTTAGCTTGATATTGTTTAACAAGGCTGAATCTGTTTTTTTTTCTCAATTCACAATTAGGAAAATGAATCGTTTGTTTGTTTGTAACAAAGCACAAAGCTACACAACGGGTTATTTGTGCTCTGCCCACCACAGGTATCGAAACCCGGTTTCTAGCGTTGTAAGTCCGCAGACATAGCGCTGTGCCACTGGGTGGCAAGAAAGTGAATTATTGTTAAATTCGTCTGACTTATTGATGCTATCACTAGTCTTGTGTAAGGAAAATATGAGATTTCGACAATCATTAAGTTTCAACCAGTAGAAAGGTTTTTGCTGGTATTTATGTAAGTTATTTACATACAGTAACTCAGATTTTAACCAGTGCAAAATTATTTAAGTTCCAAAAATTACTTTAGGTTGACTATTACAAGTTTTATTCTTTCTTGTAGATATTTAATCATTTTGTGCAAAAACTATAAGGTTCGTCGAAATAAACACTCAAATTCGAGATTTTATATTATTTTATACTAATCTTGTAAGCATGTTTTTAGTTCTATAGTTGTTTAATGGATTATATTAGTTTCATTGATTATAATATAATCAACCGCTTAAGAAAATCATAGAAAATATTTCTCTCCAATTCTATACAGAAATATAACACTTGTGAACAAAAAAGTTAGAACTTTAGAAAAACGTTTAAAATTCACGGAGTAAGTTTTATGGTTACCTACTTTTAAGTTAACATTCTTAATATACTCGTTGTCTTATTTAATTAAAGTTTAATAGGTACTGGGTAAATCTTACCGTTACCTACTATCAAGTTAATTTTACTAATATACTTGTGTCTTATTAAAAGTTTAGTAGACGCGGGACAAGTTTTATGGTTAGTTATTACCAAGTTAATTTTACTAATATACTTGCGTCTTATTTAATAAAAGTTTAATAAACGCTAGGTAAGTCTTATGTTTAGCAACTATAAAGTTAATTTTACTAATATACTTGTATCTTATTAAACGTTTAGTAGGCGCGGGACAAGTCTTATGGCTAGTTACTACCAAGTTAATTTTACTAATATACTTGTCGCTTATTAAAAGTTTAGTAGGCGCGGGACAAGTCTTGTGGTTAGTTACTACCAAGTTAATTTTATTAATATACTTACGTCTTATTTAATAAAAGTTTAATAAACGCTAGGTAAGTCTTATGGTTTACAACTATCAAGTTAATTTTACTAACATACTTGTATCTTATTTCATAAAATCTTTACCAGTGATTGACTTTGCTTGACAAACCTCAAAATTTCAGTCTCTGTAAAAAACTTTTAATTGCAGCTACATAAATGAATAATATTTGAACATTAGTAGAGCTTGTGAGAAAGTACCTTTGGAGTTATTAGAAAAATACTCACGTAATGAAGAACCTCCGTCTGTTTCCTCACAGCATCTTGAAACAATTGGATTTTACTGACGTCCTGCAAAAATTTAACAAATTTAAGTTGTAACTTTTAATACATAAGAAAAAAAATCTTATCTTTTGAAAAGCACTAGATTAGATTTAACCTTTTTTTTTACGAACAACTGAGGTCTTGTAACTTGAACAGTCTTCTGCGCATGCTTGAACTAAGACTACATTATTGTTCCAGAAAATCCTAAATAATTCGATGACGAGGAACCCACTTTGAGACTAATAATGGCTAGAGACGGCTTGAATGGGTAATGAAGAAAAACTTTGATATAAGTTTAACATAACAGCAAATGTACAACGTTTCAACAAGGTTTTGTCATCATCAAATATACAAAACACAACGTTCACTAATAACTTTATTCAACAAAGCAGTATTTTTTTCGTTACTGATTTGTAGTGTTCAAATGTCCTGTCAGAATATAGTTTTGGGTGCATTTTCTTCCGTGGCTTATGGTATGAAGACAAGATGACCTCTTGCTGTGTTGCCACTTGCGGAGATTTCTCTAGGTAGATGATCGCGCGAATCCATTGGTAGCGGTATACCTGTTGACATTCTAGAAATATTCTCGATAGGAACCTCACACTCTCCAACAGGTTGACTCATCTATAAGAAAGCCTTTGCTGAAATTAAGCAGTTGGCTGTACACCTATAAATACCTTTCTATACACAATCACAATAGATAACTTCCTTCTTGAACCACCTATTATTCTGGATTCTGCTTTGTTACACTCCAGATCTGCTATTTTCATTATTTCGTAAATCAATTTTTTGTTTTTACTGGAAGTTCAACCTCTGGTGGTGTAATTGTCATATAGTGCATGGATATTTTCAGGTCGTACACTGTGAAACTAGTCTAACATCACAGCCATATCTCCGCATGTTGTCAATTTCCAATATGCATTCTTCCTTAATGACAATTATCCACATATCATGTTGTATAGAAAAGTTTCATACGGTGACAGCAATCATCTTACAGAAACGTTATGACCAACATATTTTCACATCAATCCATCTTCTTGCTCCATCTTTAGAAGTGATTTACCTTCTTTTATTACAGAATCCAGTTGAATAATTGTAGCTGCAAAACCGGTGTCTTTCAATATATCATAAGGCTTCCCATCAATGAATTCATTAACTCGTGGATTGGTTTCTTGAAAAAATACTCTCCTTATATTTACTGGAGCAGATGGAGTAGTCTTATCCTCAAGATATTGTTCCTTGCTTTAATATTAACAGCAGTTTCAGCACAGTCTGGGATGCAATGTATAGCAGTTTCCTTCCGTCATCCTTCAGAAGCAGTTTCTAGCATCATGTCCTTTTAAGTTGCAGTTGAAACACCTTCTGTCCTATGGTTTACTACCTATTTAAAGGCTAGTGTCTTTAGTTCCTTTAAAGTTGCAATTGAAACATCTACTGTTGTGTGGTTTACTTCTTTCATTTTGATTTAACAGTTGTTGTTTAACACATCGTTTGAGCTCTTCTAGACTTTCATTTAAGACAGTTGATGTTTCTATAGAATTCAATATGACTGTCCCGTAATGTTTTGATGGTGCTATTAATTGTTTATCAGCAGCTTTAATGTATTAAAGTTCCATAATAACCTGGATAACATCTATTAAAGATGTACATTTACTTTGCTTTAACCCAATATGCACATCCACAACCGTTATGCACCTATGATTTAATTGTGGGCCAATGAATCGATCTTTTTATGTTGAACATCTGGATAACATAAGTGGACAATCATTTCCACATATTCTGTCATTTTGATTAAAGTCTCATTTTTCTTCCGTGTTCTGATTCTGGTTTGTTTTGGAAACTTCTTTCTAGAGTGTCATTCCAAACCAAAGTGGGGTTGGACAATTGAACTTAATTTCATAAAAACAAGTTACACTCCTTCTTGACAAGGGGAAAATTCACATTCTGGATTAAAAGTATAAATTTAGAACAAATAGATGTTCCCAATTCTGCTATATATATGTAAAGGTGTGAATTTGTAAACGGAATGGAAAGTAATGTAAATAGTAGGTGAAAATAAAGGACAAAACTACTAACAAAATTACTTAAATAACATAATTTTATGATTATTATTATAAAATTATATGAACATATTGTTCATAATCGTTTTATTAGCTCTTTACAATGTTACATATAGAATTAAGGTTACATGTATGGAGCTACGGCTTCATAAAATTTTATTATTTAATATTTCGCAATTATTTTTTGAGTGTCAAATCAGTCTTTCTGGCGATGGATGAGTATTCATTCTTTTTGGATGCATATAACTTATCAGTAATTCACACTTATAAAGATTGGAAATCCACACTTTTTTAAGCTTTATAATTATTTCGATTGAGTCCTAGTTATCCAATCAGGTTCTAATTTTACATTGTAATTATACATTCACCCTCAGTACATATAGTGTCGAATTTTCTGATAAACAACACATATGATTTCTGCCATGTTAATAGTTAATGAAACAAAAAAAGCTTATATGCAATCTATTTTGGAATTTAAGCAACTACAATTCAAAATCACTAATAACTGTTAGGGATGCAGTCAGCATAATTTCAATCTTGTCGAGGAAAACAACGCTCAAAATCACTAAATAATTGTGTCTTAGTTGCTTATATGTCAGTACATAGAAGCTTATTCGCCACCTCAAGGATGCCACCTTACGCTGATTAGCTGTCTCAGGGAGTAGAGACGATGATGTCATAGTTCAATGTAGTGGAAACAGGGGGCGAGTTGCTTGGGGGACGTTACTAGACCGCCATGACAGGCGGATGTTGCCTGCTACCAGTGAGCAGGTTGTTTGGCGTGCAATCATAGTCGGGTGTTAAACAATAGAGAGTGTATTGCTCGAGCCATGAAGTGGCGTCAGAGGGCGCGTTGGTATGATAAGACTGCAGATAGATCAACATGATATTAATTTTATAGTAATAATAAGAGTTTTAAAATTAATAATTTAATATAATTTGCCTCATGTTGTGTTTACAGTTTCACTTTATAAATAAAATATTAAATTTGCTATTTTAATTTTATCAACTTTATAATTTTACTCAGTAATTGCGTAAATTTTACAAAGGCAGATGATGTTTCGACAGTTCGACAGTGTTACTAAGGTTCTACGAGTGGACAGTGTGGCCATGCTTCCATAAGATTGCATACAGATTTCAACTCGTCTCAACTTATTTATATATTTAACTGTATTACATGTGTTGCTATAGGTAGACAGTGTTACCAAGGTTATTGCTGCTAAGGCTGATAGTTCAGTAGGATGATGAGCTCATTGTGGGGTTTCTCAACTTCTGGTTACATCATCAATGTCTAGATTTAATTATGTATCCTAAAGATGTAAACCTATTATTTATATTTTTGTATTGGTTTAGCAAAACAATAATAGTGTTCTTGACAAAACGTTTCATTTTATTCTAATTTTCATTTAAAACTTTATTTGTATAACAAAAGTGGACAATATTATTATATTTCCATAGGATTGCATACAGATTTCAACTTGTTAGAACTTATACACAGCCTGGTCACAAATAAATAGACACCACCTTTTCAGAAAAAATGAAAGTTTTCAGTCATATTCACATGAAATGATATATTTATAATTTAATTAATATATAGTAGATCTTCCTTTCGCTTCGTGGAGTCCGTTGATCCTTTGCGGCATCGTGCTAATCATCTCGTCAATTATAGATTGTGGGATTTTCGCCCACTCTTGCTTCAAAACTCGGAGTAGATTGCTCTTCGAAGTTGGTTTTTTGGTTGTTTCTTGACTTGCCGGTCGAGTATAGCCCAGAGGTTTTCGATGGGGGTGGCAGGAAGAAAATGGTATCCAGAAGTTGCCCTGGCCGAGCCAATCTCCTGACATGAATTTTTGGGTGTTTTTAGCAGTGTGACTCGGTGCTCCATCTTCCTGGAACAACGTTGTGTTCTTGTTCACAAAACCCGAGGACTAAGGTGGCAAGAGTCCTTCCTCCAATATTTAGACGTATTTCACAAAATTTATGTTGCCAACGCACTCCACTAAGCTCGATCTCCCACCAACCCAAACAGCTCCCCAAACCATCACGCTGAAACCACCATGCTTCACAGTTGACTGCAATCTGTTGAGCCAAAACTCTTGGTGAGGCATTCTCCAGACCCATATCCTTCCACTGTCCGAAAATTGAGCGAATCTTGATAAGTCTAAGAACAATACGGTTTTCCAAAAGTCCAGAGGCTTGGTCATCATATCACTTGCCCACTTCTTTCGTCTGACTACGTTGGCAGGTCTTAATAAGGCTTCTGTCTAGCTGCTCTGAAACGATAACCCAATCTGTGGAGAATCCGTTGAACAGATTACGGGCTCATCCCACCAACTTTGGCCACTTCTGCAGTCGTTAATCTGGAATCCATTTCGATGCTTCTCTTGACAGCCCTTTTTGTCCTCTCCGATGGACCAGGACGATCCGGACGCTGCTCAGTTGTTTCCTTGCCGTGTTTTCTGAACTGCACGATGATTCTGTTGACTGTCGAAAGCGGGATTCCCAAATTCTGCGAAATTTGCCGCTGACTTATTTCACCATTTGCTTGACCAACTATCCTTCCTCTAACAAAATCTGACAATTCGAGAGAACCTTGAGTTCTGGGCATGTTGTAGCACAAGACAATTAGTGTGCGGACCCTTTTCATTTATATA